GAATTATTTCATTGTGTCCCTGAACTTATCTACTTATAAACCATTTATAAACATTAACCAACACTAACTCTTAACTTAAACATCACCATCTTCTAACTTACAGATAAAAAGTTCACACCTTTTTTATGTTAAATATTGAGTTCTTTTGTGACGAGCCAGCAGTTTTACTGTTAGTGATACAAACTGTACTCAGTACAAATGTCTCTGTAGGAATATGTTGTGTTTTTTAAGGACCTGAACAGAAGAAAAGTATTGAGGTCTGTTTTTAGACAGAAATTAATTAATTAATCATTATTATCTAGGCTATCTTTACTCATTTCATTTTTAATTATATTTGCAGAAATGTTAAAGTTAAAAAAAAAACCCAAAAAACTCTACAATTGAAAAGGATACAGGGAATCCTCTGGAGGCATGTTCACGTCACCATAGTAGATATAACGCAGCATCGACTCAAAGGCCTGCTTACTCGGGACCATCTCACCAATGGATATATTTACTTGACCGTCCACGGGCATGAAGGAGCGGAACATTGCCTCAAAGTAACTGAGGAGTAACAGTATCAAAAGGATAAGTCACACCATTAAGCTGAAATGGACCATGACCAACTGTGATACAACATCAAGCCATTACAGAAAGCAATCAAATCTAGTCTAGAGTAGATCTAGTAGTAGTAGACCTAGAGTCAACTATCGGCACAGGAGCATAAAATCCACATTAAATCAAATTCAGCTTAAGTCAGGTACCAAAAATACAAAACAACCCCAAAACAACCCATCCATAAAATCTACGCTGATCTACCTGGACCGAGCTGCTAGTATGGCTTTGTGTGCAGGCCGTGGGTGACCATCTAACAGCAGAATAATGTCACAAAACTCAAAGCCGCTTCCCTCCAGGTAGGCCTTCATGTCCTGCACCAGGGAGGTCCCGATGTCCACAGGCTGGTCAGAGTACACCCTAGGAGGAGGCTGCTGCTTTCGTCGCACAATCTCCACTATCAGGGGAGTGGAGAGATGCTCGAACTCTTTCGTCATGATAACCTGGTTAAAGTGTGACTCCTTAACCACAAAATTAAGGCAATGTTCCTGAAGAAAGAAAAAAAGATGTTGGTATTAGTGTCATAATAGCTAGTACTGTCAAAATTAAAGCGTTAACGCAGATCAAGCCGGCATCACGACTAACGCGGAAAAAAAAACAATTAAACGCATCTGGTGCGCAGAATGACTCAAAATCCCTGAAGTGTTTCTGTCAACGCATTTCGGGCAGTTTGTCCAAGTAGAGTTACCTTCGCACATGCGCAAATGGGCAGTAGATCTGGTAGTGACGGGGAGCTGAACCAATCAACTCAATTTGGAAGATATATAAGTTTTAAAGAATCAGAAACAACTTTTTTTGAGTTTTAATGAACAAAATGTTAGCAGGACAGCATCCGTAAACTCTTGTTTGTTTATTTTCCAGACTAAAGTCATATTCATTTAACTTTTTACCATGGTCGTCCATGTTCCAGCCCAACAGTTTGAAAAGCAGTGAAATTAAGAAACTTTAACCACTAGAGGTCAGTATAAGACGCTTTTCAGCTGTTAACATTTAATCTGGACGTACCTTGAGCTGGTCGAGCTGCAGTTTGTTGGCATTTTCACAGACACTGAGAACATTCTGCAGGTCGACTGATGCTTCAATGTACTGCACACAGAGCTGCTCCAGCCGGGAAAGCTTAAAGCTTAGGGCCAGTTTGTACACATCCATAATCAGGAGAACATCCTGCACATGACCTGTGTAGACAGATACACACAAGAATAAACATTTTCCCTCTCTTTTGCAGCAAGACTGGTAACAACCAAATGTGAGAAGCATGAGCAGAGTGGTACCTCTGCGAGGGTACTGGATCTTGTCTGTGTAGAGAAACTGCATTAAGACTTCAAAAGGCTGAGCCTCCGCTTCTCTGATGGATACCTCCAGCAGCGGCTGTGTGCCCGATGGCCTGTTGCCTGCTGGCATATCTTTTGAGCCTCCAGCTGCTCCTTCATCCTCACTGCTCTCCTGTTTTGTCTTCTGTAAGGCAGTAAAGTATGCAATTATCATTCTGGCTCAGTGAATACACCAGTGACCCATTACTCTTACAAATGCTTATATTATATATCTTGATGCCTCAGACCTACAAGCTTAGATAAATATGTTCATTAAAGCATTAAATGTGCAATATTTATGCTGCTGCACCTTTTCTGTAGTGAAAGCCTCACTGACTTTTCATAAAACTGAAATTTAGAGAATGTAGCTCATCATCCAGTCCATTACATTTCACGGGTTACTAAAATGGGGACCTTGACTTTGCGCACAATTTGGGTGAAGACCCAATTAGGTAAACCTTTAAATTTGATTCAGTTCTGACGAATACTGTAGGACTAGATATTCTTGTGAACTGTGGACCGACGACAGACGCCTCGCCATGGCGGATGAGCTGAAAATGAACTAAAATGATTACATTTGCAGCTTCACTTTGCGCATTAACTATGAACTGAGTTAATTTTCTATAAATATGAGTGTCTGAAAAAATACAAGCAATAACTCCTTGATTTTCCCCTTCAACACTATTGTTGGACAAATACCAAACACTAGCCTTTTATTACAGATAATTACCAAATCATTATTCTTTCTTTATGACAATATCGCCACTCTAGCCTATTTCAGTGGAGATGGAAACCAACCAATCATGATGTGATCACGACTAATTGTTTCCCCTCCTGCGGTGTTCATTGTTTTAAAAAATCTTTTTTTAAAAAGGTGTTTCATTTCATGATGCCGCACAGCTTGAAGAGTGCAGGTTGGAGGATGTGGATTCAATTCTAAACCTTTCTGCCATTTAATATTTGAATTGTGACACAGGTGCTTGAAGTTGTGTCACTATTTCACCGTGTTTCTGATTTCCAAGATGTGGAATAGGTTACAGAGTTACATAATCAGCGTGATTTTTCATATTTATAAATATCTTCTGAGATCACTGACAGTCTTGTATGTGTCAGAGGAGATGCACTTGGTGCATTGTCCTAACCTGTCGCTGCCTATCTCGAGCCTGCAGGATTTTCTTCCGCAACCACTGACATCTTGCAGTCACTATGGCGATATGCCCCAAGACTCTCTCTTCACTCTGCAAACAAGACAACAATGTCAAGTCAGACAAGTGGAAAAAAACAACAAAAACAAAAAAAAAAACAAGTTTGGCAGATCATGTGCGAGTCACCATGAATTTCAAGAATTGCCTTTGGGTTTGTGAGCCTTTATGTAGCTTGCCATCACCAGTGTGTGAATGGGTGGATGACTGGATATGTAAAGCGCTTTGGGGTCATTAGGGACTAGTAAAGCGCTATACAAATACAGGCCATTCACCATTTTTATTACAAGAAGACAGTTGAGAAAGCTGGGGAAGAGGGCAGGGGGAAGCCATGCAGCAAAGGTGTCTGGGACAGATTTGAACCTAGGCCCATGCAACAACCTCAGAGCATACTGGTAACCTACTCAACCCATGTAGTTATACTGGCACCTCACCTTGAAACTTTAATCAGCAGTTTAGAGGCTTGGCTTCCAGTTTTACAGCAATGAAAACTCACCTCGCCCAGAATAAACTCCACATCACAGAACTGACGGTTCTCCCACAGTTTGCCATAATCCTCATGGAGGGTACACTTTGGGTAGCATGAAAACTACAAAAGTGAAAGTTTTAGCAATCAATCTTAAGGCAGGACAGACTTTTTAACTATGGTAGTATATCTCAGCAATGAGGTGATTTGACACCAACCTGGAATCTGTACATCTCCCCACTGCGGACATTGTTGTCCACAGTCCCGCCAAAGATGTACATGGCATCCAGAATCACAGCAGCAGCATGGAAGAGCCTCCCACTGGGCATCTGAGAAAAAACAAAAACAAAAAAAGATAAGAGTTTAATTACATATCTGTAAAATTCACCTACATGTGTTTTATATTCCTATCTGGGGTGACACAAAAGGAACACCATACCACTATGATTTACAATAATATAAATTGTCTTGCACAAATTTCTGCAACAAAATGCAGACTGTCTACAGCAACGAAGAATGTAAAGTAAGTAAACTCAAAATGGCTCATCACTCAACAGCTTTTCCAAACATATTGTGTTTGCATTACATTAAGAAATAGTACAATAGATAGGAATGGAGCGTACAGCAACAAAGTGTTCTCGTTTAATAATTTACTGTCCTAATAAATAATATTTGTGATATCATTCATCCACCTCCATATCTACTAACATAGTTCTTTGTGTCAACAAATGAATGATATCACAAACACAATGAACATTTTCCAAATTTTTTCATACCTCACTGTCATGGCTGGGTTGGATCACCTCCCAGGTCTGAGAGTCAACATCATAGCAGTGCAGCTCATTGGGCAGTGTGTTGTCAGCAGCACCTCCAAATACATACAGGTGCCGGTCAAAGGCAACCATAGTGTGTCCATAGCGCCTCTGCGGAGGTGGAGGAGAGCCACGCAGCAAATGTTCGGTTGGTATACGTGTCCACCTGAGAACATGGGAGTTATGAGTGTCGGGTAATAAAGGTTATCTTATCTTATCTTAATGCTGGTAAATATAGTATAAGTAGCTGAATGATATAAAAAAGGGTGCTGCTTACATGTGGCCTTGGAACTCAAACTGAAAGAGGTTGTTAGTAATTTTGGCTCCACTCTGTCCAGAAAACACAAACATCTTGTCCCTGCATACGGCGACAGGGAAGTTGCAGCAAGACGGGGGAATTTCACCACTCTGATCGATCTGATGGACACAAAGACAGAAAGACAGACGTGAACAATGACCAAGAGTTTCTGAGTCTTTAACTTTAAATGTTGTTCTCTTTTGTTGTGAAAATGAATGAAACATGCCTCTTCCCAGCACGCGTGCTCTCGGTCCTGCAGACTGATGGTCCACATGTCGTTCAACCTATACGTGGGCGAAATAGTCACCAAGGTTATGCACAAAAACAAATACATCTGCAGAAAATGAAATAAAAAATTCATACATACCTGGCATTTCCATCATAACCGGCAAATATCCAGAGTTTATCACTGTAGACTGTGGCCCCATGTGCAGATCTGGCCACTGGCAAGCTGGAACAGAGATGCAGGATTTTTAGGACTAGTTTCATAGACAACACTTAAGTATAGTCCCAGACTAAATTTTTATTTGCCTCTGTACCTCAAAGGGCCTTTCAAAGACTTAAAACAGTTGTAGATTTTGCTTGTCCTGGATTAAACTAAGCAGACTGCAAGACTGAGGATTAGAGATACTATGGGATTAATTTGAACCTTAAATTAATTTTTGAAGGAGGTGGGCTTAACTTTTATCAGCAATTTTGCGAAGAATAGAGGATTTTGGAGTTGGGGGGGCTGTCATGCTAGGACATAGTAGAAGGCAACTGTGCACAGTGTGAGGTCCTCCAAAGTTTTAGTTTAGCCAGTAAACATAAAGGCACATGCGAAACCAGCCCACAGTTTTTCCAACATATTTTATCCTCCAGACAACCTAAAGCACGGGTGTTGAACCCCAGGCCTCGAGGGTCGGTGTCCTGGAAGTTTTAGATGTGTCATTGATCCAACACAGCTGATTTAAATGGCTAAATGACCTCCTCAACATGTCTTGAAGTTCTCCAGAGGCCTGGTAATGAACTAATCATTTGATTCAGATGTGTTGACCCAGGGTGAGATCTAAAACCTGCAGGACACCGGCCCTCGAGGCCAGGAGTTCGACACCCCTAACCCTAAAGTATTAAGGGTGGGAACCACGGAGGCAAGATACAATAATATCATGGCACACAATAACAATGTTTGGTCATTATTAAAAAGAAACGAGTTAATACATTACCTTCCCTCCACTTTCCATTCAGTCCACTGTCCTGTAGCAAACTTGTACTCAAAAAGGTCATTTTTATTTTTCAGGTTTGAATTTGAGTATATGTCTCCAGTGTAGCCCCCTAGAAAATATCAAATTTGAACATTACAGAAATGCCACCAGAGTTTAAAATGGATAAAATGAAGGATTTTTATAGATAATGAAGGATTTACCAAATACAAACATGCTGCTGCCATAGACCACAGCTGAGTGGTGGTATCTGGGGGCAGGTGGCGTTCCAGTGGTGAAAGCTCTGTGAATTATAGACATGTGTCAACTTTTATTTTATTATATGGTTAAGATTGTGTATGTTTTATATATACTCTGGCTGATTTGGTGTCTTGTATTGTAATACTTTCAAAAAGTGTCCACTGTGGAAATAAACTGATCTTTATGATCACTTTTTAGTGCTCCTTGTTCTGATACTCACTGCATGCACACTATGATGGTCTTAAAATGTAAATGGCCTATATTTGTATAGCGCTTTACTTAGTCCCTATGGACCCCAAAGCGCTTTACACTACATTCAGTCATCAGTCATAAATGCGTGTTAATCTGGGTTATTCCGTGGATTGTGATATGTATTGCAACGAAGTAAAATCAAACCAACTGCGGCTGTGAGGCTATAGCCTTACCGACACCAGGAACAGTCCTTCACATCAAAGCGAAGCAGATCATTCAGCATGTTTTTGCTGTTGGGTGACACAGAATTCTCACATACATATAATAACACATATATCTGAAAAATGTCTGCAGAAGTCTTGTAGCCCTTACCCATTATCTCCCCCGAACACATATATTGCATCTCTGTAAGCCACCACAGTGTGCTTGCTGCGCCTGCGTGAAGCCGCATGAAGTTCAGTAAAACCACAGGTATTCAGTTTGAGTGAAGATGCTGCTGCTGCTCATCTGTCCACACCTTACCTTGCACCAACAAACTCATCGCACGGAGGGAGTCTTCTCCAGCGATGAACAGTCTCAAATGGGCCGAAATTAAGTGTCAAATATTCCACGCTGTCAGAGCAGCTGTGGTCGAAATCAACACTCGGAGCCACTTTAGTTGACTTACAGGACATGTTTTTGCTAACTCCCCGGCTCAATCAGATTTCAGGGCCACTCATCTGCAGGGACGTGAACGGTTAACGACGCTGTTAATGCCCCAGGATAAGTGCCAATACTTCTGTCATTACATGTAAATCTGGAGTGACATTGGTACTACTCTTACCCAAGTCTTCTTTGTTAAAGATTAAGGCTGTTGTCCTTCAGAGAACTGTTAGCTACAAAAAAGCTCAGCTAAACCTGGCTAGCTAGCTAGCCTCTAGCTAGTGCTACGCCCCAAAACTAGCAACATGAAGAAGAAAACGACAAGTTAACGAACAACGCTAACGTTGCGTTAAAACATCTGGCCAACCGGTTCGATACCTACGATGTCATGATATTACACAGACAAAAAAATAACACCAAGAAATCAAAAGCAGTGGTAAATCCACGCCCCCCACAACCCTGTATGTTGCGGGTACTTCACTTCCTGTAATATTAAAAAGGCGGAGTCAAAGTGCTTTCAGTCCTGTATTCTTGAGTAGTTTGAAACACTATAGGTATTAACGTTAATTTACACTTTGGAGTCCTACTCTAAAAACCTGTCATAGATTTAGCACCGTCTTCAAAGCTGGAATGTGTTAAAGAGTCTTTGAAATTAAAGATTTTAAAGCACGTTAAGCAAAGAAAGAAAATAAGGAAACTAAAAAAGCTGCAGTCACTCATTACTGCAATGAGTTTTATGTTAAAAACAAGGACATAGTGTCCACTTTCACTCTTTATCTCTGAAGCAGTAAGTGGTTCTCTGTTGTTAGCTATCTGCACTGAAACAGAGGTTAGATAACTTTATAAATGAGGGTTTTGTGGAGGATGGCCTGTTTGAGTCAGGTGCCCCAGTGGCTCACCAAACTGACAAGCAGGAGTCAGACAAAATCCCCTCTGTGTTTGATTTTTCCTTGTCTGTTGGGTTGGACACACCGAGCAGAGAAATCTCAATTCCAATGAAGTCAGAAATGAAAGGTGTAATCTTTTAATTATCAATAATGGCACAGTGTAATATGTCAAATGTCGTTCATTTCAGGTTTTATTTGTCAAATTTTAATTCCTGTCAAGGGTTACATATTTTTTTCCATTACAGTACATCCTGATATGTAAAACCGTAGACTTAACAGTGTTTCTAAGTCTATAACTGTCTTAGCACAAATGTTAAGGACATCTCCAAGCAATGAAAAAGTATTGTGATCATGCAGTTTTTGTTAAAAACATAACCATCCTCATTGAACTTTTCATGTTTTATTTTTTATTTTACAACAGCAAATAGCATTGGATTTAATTACAATCTTCTAACACTGATCTTCAAAATAAATGCTTTATTAGGTCCGTTTGGAACCACTACAATTTTGAGGCATTATCGGCACCAAATGCTCATTTTAACAGGAAACTTGTGAAATGTTATTCACCCATCCATAGGCTGATACAATATGGCCATTTATCTTAACCCACCATTTTTAGGAACATATATTTCTCATTTATTTTCAGAGATGTTGAGCCAACAAAATTAAATGGTTGTTTTAAATAAACAATATTACATTTCATTTTTTTCTGAGACTTAGCTTCTCATATATTGCTAGTAACAATGGATTATTGTATGGAGGACAAAATCAGGAAATTGCACATTAGTTAAAATCAAATCATTAATAATACAAAACACTAAGAATAAGCAATACTGAATGGAAAGAAATACTGACTAAATATTATAGGTGAATTTACAAACATAAATTAATGAAATGAAATTGCATTTCTTATGAGTGGTTCTGATAATAACGCCGTGTAGACATCCGAGTGGTGTTTGACACTCTTGGTCATTGTACATTTAGGTAGGATCTTACTTGACAGACATATGTTTTAGGTTATTTTCCTGCTCTCTACACAAGTCACATCACATTGTCACTTTACCTCCCAAAACAACTGGCAAGAGCAACACATTATTGTTGATTATCATTGAGATTTAAGCAGCAAACAAAAACGGAACAGTAAAGTTCTCACATGAAGAAAATGCAACATTTATCCTATAAAATTAAGGTATTTTTACTGCTAATTGCATCATTTTTAATGGCTCTTTCATTTATTGATTCTTCTGTTGTTATTTATTAAACATATTACATGACAGACATGGAGAAACACGTTTATAGTTGATAACATTAATGATGATTTGATTTAGAATTTGTAGTGATAGGACTCTCAAGTAGACTGATAGCTAATGCCATTCGTTTAAAAAAAAATACA